GGGGCAGATTTGAGCACAGTTCAGCAGTGGTTTAAGGATGGTTTCCCTAAATCATCATCAACATAACTTCCTTCAATCCCTATAACTTCCTCCAATCCTGGATCCAATCTACTCAGGGCCTATTTACCGAGGGAAGTCTACCAGCTGAATTCTACCGTTTTCGCCAGCCTTGTCTGCAGAGGTTATATATGTTCTCCCATGCGGTTCAAACAGCTCAAAGCAAGTCCAGTGGGAGACGGAAGGAAGTCACGGCATGCAGAAACTTGGCCGCAACATCCCTTGGGATGAAAGATGCTTGAGAAATGCAGGACTTTGCAAAAGTCCTGTCTGCCACATCATCGGGCCCCTCCAGTAGGAAGCTAGCTACAGATGCTGTATAGCTTGACTTTCAGCCTTCTTGGTTAGGGAAGAAGTGTGTCTATCGACTGGTCAGGATAAAACAAAACAGACGAGCTGGAATCAGTCATCAGCCGTACAGAAATAGGGTCAAATTAAGCAAATAGCTTTCCTCTCCAGGGAACGGGCGTCTGAGCCGGAGTCGGCACCTTGTTCGTGATGCTGCCTGTTGGAGCTGTCCGACTGCCCTCCCTCCACCCACCCGCCCAGATCATTCTGTAAGTGACACCAGTCTAATTAATTAATGACTCCTCTGTGTCAGCTGTGGCAGCTGAGCGAGAAAGCAAAGCTGCAAAAGGAGAGGAAAAGGACAGCACGTGGCTGCTTCTAACAGAGACTGCTGAGTGCTGCTGACAGCTCACTGGCTATTATTCCTCATCCCTCCTGCTCCAGGCTGCAGAACAGACAGCAACCAAGAGGGAGAGGGAGAGACAAATACACGGAGGAAATAAGATGGCGTGGGACCAGCCTTTCCAGCACCCTCAGTCCTGGCCAAGGTGCTCTGCCCTCCTTCTGACATGCTCCAGAACTGCCATCAGCCAGTTGATCGAGGTAAGAAACCTCCTCCTCTTGGGGTCAGGGGGCTGCCTGTGGTGGAGTCATCAGGTTGCAAAGTATCCGGTTGTCTTTGCATGTTACCTAGAAAGGACCAGTGGTGAGCAGAGAATTTAAGGTGGCACCTGGGAGTTGGAGGCTTGCTCAGAGGAAGCTTGTTGCTTCCATTAGGCCAGGTAGACAGAAGCCATCTATGTACTTAAGGAGGCCCACAGTCATAATTAAAGGCAGCAGAAATTAAGAGCCATTTCAGAGTCGAGTATAGTGACTTAAGATGTAGTCCAAAAGCTTTTCTCTGGCATCTTTTAATTCCCTGTCATGCATTCAAAAAAAAAACTCCACACAGCTTAGGAGCAGTTGCTTTCCCCATAACTCCCTTTCTGGCTTCTCCATTGGCTTCTTTGTTCCCCATGGCTTTCACCTGGAGTTTCCCTTGCCCCTCAGGCTAAGTACAAACAGTCAAAAAGCCTGAGGCTGAATTGGTTCAATCCCTGCAGTTTAGTCTAACCTGCACAGATTGAACCGATAAGCAAGGGAACAGACATTCACTTCTGATTCCAGAAATGCAGCCACATGCCTGCAGTGGCCCAGACCAGACACCGGGGGGTGGTAGAGCATGCCTGCCTTCTCAGCTGGAGCCAAGCTTGGGCCAAGGGTAGCCCACCCACCCTACAAAGCATCCTGGGGTGCTGGGGGACCGTGAGAACTTGAATCTGGAAGGGATCTGGGATAGAAGTTCAATAAACTGATTTAAACTAAATCAGTTCAGTCTGATACTACATCCATCCAGGTTTATCTTAAACCATTTTCAGCCATTTTGAAAGCAGTTTATGTGCACTGAACTTCTGTTATGCTACAGTTTTGAATTGGTTTCCAATCACTTATACCGGTTTATGCACAGTTTCTGTCCCTAGCCTCATTGCCCACCCCACTCCTATCCCTTCACCCAAGCCTCTCTCCTAGGCTAGGGACAGAAGTTACACATAAACTGGTTTAAGTGATCATAAACTGGTTTAAAGCCATAACACAACAGAAATTCAGTGGACATAAACCACTTTCAAAACAGCCCAAACTGGTTTAAGATAAACCTGGTTGAATGTAGTATCAGACTTAACTGATTTAGGCCAAACTGGTTTATGGAACTTCTGTCGCAGACCTCTTCCTGCTTAAAGTTGACTCACAGTCCCCCAAGATCCCAGCATGCTTTGCAGCTCTGGGCTGGGCTGGGCTGGGCTAGGTTGTATTGGGGAAGCAGGGTTGTCCCCACCCCTCTCCTCCCTACCTGGAGCACTATCAGTGCTCTAACTGGCTGAGAAGGGGGCAAGGGTGGGACAAGTGTTGTGGGGAGGGCAGAAGGTGGCCCTGGGCCTGAGATGAAGAGGGGATGGAGGGGCTGTGCTGGTGTTGTCATGGGCGGAAGCAGAGAAGAGATGGGAAGGGGGAGAGATGCCCCTGGAGGGAAGCTGGTGCTACCCCGCTCTATGGACACAACAATGGAGAAAACACAGGGCATTTGGAAGTGGGTGCTGGACCTGGGGGTACCTGCCAAGCAGCTTCTCCCACCAGGGCCATGCCCAGGCCCTAGCCTGGCACAGGGTGGGTGTTCCCGGGGGAGGGGGAGGTGGTGAGACAAGCAGGGATCCACCTCCCCTAACCCCCACTGCTGAATCTGCCTGAGTCACTCTTCCCCACCTCTGGGGAGCCATTGCCCCCACTGCAGAAGTTGCCAGCTCTGGCCTGCAGACTTACCAGGTGCTGCATCTACCTGATTGCAGCCTCTTCTTTCAGACCACATGGAAGGCAGACCAGCTGCTGCGAGCAGTGGCAGAGCTTGGTGCAGCTAAAAGCCGCAGCAGCGGCAAGTCTCCCAGGAGGAGCCAGACAGCCCCTGTGGCAATTGGGACAGTCTGCACCTGGCTGCTGCTACCAATTGAGCTGCGTGCCTGAAGCAGCTGTGTGGGGCTCAGAGTCAGCAGCCAGGGCACTGCAAGCAGGGAAGTGTCCTGGGGTCTCCCTGGGCCCGGCCTGGCTGGGGACACTTCCTTGCTTGCAATGCCTTGCCTGCTACCTCTGGACCCCGTGCGGCTGCTCCAGATGCTGCACCCAGGGGCACTGCTGCGCTGGGGGAGCCCTGCTGGCTCCTCCTGAGGGACCTGCTGCTGCAACTGCTCCTGCCCGCACCAAGCCCCACTAGTCTGAAAAAGGAGGCTGTAATCAGGCAGCTGCAGTACCCAATAACTATGCGGGCCAACACCAGCAACTTCCCCAGCAGTGGCTGCAGCTCCCTGGAGGTGGGTGAGAGTAACTCGGGCAGAGTCCACACTGGGGATCTGGGGAGAGGGATCTCT